AAAAAAAAAAAAAAAAAAAAAAAAATATGTCGCCCTGTTCCAAGAGTGGGTTTTAAGAAATGAAAATGGGACTGAGTCACTCCCCTACTAAAAAAACCCTTCCACCAGCACATTCACAGAATTAACTATTAACTGAGCATCTACCATAAAGCAGGAACTGCACTGAATTAGGTCTGTACAGAAGTCTCCTCCACCCTCATGGAATTTACACACTTACGAAAAAACAGAATTTAGTATTGTAAGTGTTATAAACGTAATATAAGGTTTTGTTGGTATTGTTTTATTTTCTTAGCCAGAAAAATGTATCACTAAACCCAAATATCAGATTTCCTAACCCAAAGATTCTTAACTAGGATGCTATGTCAACTCTCATGCCTAGAGTTGAAAATCATCATCACACTGAGAAATTTTACTAAGAAATTTTCTAAAGCGTTACACATGGGACTGGAGCACACAGGAAAAAACTATGAATCACCTTTCTCTAGTAGGTATAAATTTAAACGATTTAATATTGTTTCTTTTTAAAAGCTCTGGTAAACAAAATTTAGATAATATTTTTCAGAAGTCTGACATCAGTACGTTTCACTTTAACATCATGGGTCTTATAACAAAGCAGATCATTAACTTTTTAATAAATACCTTAGCAAACACTTTCATAGTATATCCCAAGTACTGCACTCTAGGATCAATAGCTGCATAAGTAGCTAGCATTCTTGTGTTATGTTGAGCCTGAAAAATAATTACATATTTGAAAGCATTTCAAATTTATTAAACTACAAGGTCACATAAAAAGATATAATACTTTCAAATAGAATACATATATTTAAAACTTAAAATACCTATAAATTAGTGAAAAACTTATTTTCAATCTGAAGGAAATATCAAGATGAATGATTAAATATTTTTTCCTTATACTGATCTGTAAACTTTTTCAATTACAAGTGTAAACATACCTGGGTCTATACAGAAAGAGAAACTTACCAATGTATTATACAAACTGATATCACCTTCTAAACCACTTCGTCTGTGTTCAAATTTTACTATAGGCACTTTGGCAGTAGTTATAGGTAAAATGTTTCTTAAACCTGATTAAAAAAAAAAACAACAAACTTCACTAGGTTAAATAATTTTCACAAAGCTAAAAAATATTTTGTTGTTTTAAAGTTATAATTTAAAATTCATACCTGGATGTCTCTTAAGAATTTTTGCCAAATTTTCAATTATTTCCTTACAATTTAATTTCTAAAAAAAAAAAACAAAAGAAATAAATCATAAAATTTGTCTGACTTGATTTGTCCTTGTGTAAGCGCTACTTTAATCTAGGCATTTTATACCAACATTTAAAATCTCCAGCCATAAACTCTATATAACCTTGTACTCAAATTATGTGGCCCACAGACCTGCAGTATCAGCATCCTCTGGAAACAAAAGAAACGCAGACTCTCAATCCCCACCCCAATCTACTGAATCATAATCCCAATTTTAACAAGGTCTGCAGGTAATTGACTCCACACTAAAGTTTGAGAAGCACAAAGACAAGAGAATGTTTTTAGATACATAAATGAACAACTAGAGATGGGTTTGGTGAAGGCAAAACAGTATAATGATTAAGAACATAGGCTCTGAATTTAGACAAACCTTGGATTCAAATCTTGAACTAAGTGCTGACTAGCTGTGTGACTTTGACCAAATTCTTAATCCCTCTACTACTATACTATAAAATTGAGATAATAATAAACTCCTTCCCTATGGAGTAATTGAAAGGATAACATGAGACATGTATGTAAAGCATATTCCCTATGCTGTACTCTGTTGACATTCAATATTATTCAGCTTCAGGTGTACAGCACAGTAGTCAGACATCTACATAATCCATGAAGTTGTCTCCCTAATAAGATAAGTGCTAATCTGACCCTCTACAAAATCTTTACAAAATTATTGATTATATTCCCCAAATTTATTTCATGTCCCTGTGGCTATATTGTTACTACTAATCTGTACTTTCTAAAGAAACTGTGATATATTTACATATGGAGTATTACTTGGCCATAAAGAAGAACGAAATATTACCATTTGCAATTACATGGATGGACCTAGAAAATATTATGCTGAGTGAAATAAGTCAGACAGAGAAAGACAAATACCTTATGATCTCACTTATATGTGGAATCTAAAGAACAGAATAAATGAACGAACGAAAAAGAAATAGACTCAAGAGATATAGGAAAAAAAACAAAACAGGGTTGCTAGATGGGAAGACGGTGGGGAAGCGGAAGCCAGTGACATGGTTTTTGCATGATAAAATTACTAAACAGTAAATTATTTAAATTTTTGAATGTCTTCTAAAATAATGCTAATGCTTTTACATTTCAAACACTGCTATTGCTAATATATTTACACAAAGAATGACACCATATATTTTTTATCAATACTACATACATAATTAAAAAGATTCATTACAGGAAGAAAATTAACTTCCACATTGCTTTCCAAACACTAACTCTTACCTCTGCATTTTCGTGGCCTTCCAGGGTCATACAAATATCCAGATCACTATCACGAAATCCAAATCCATTCTTAGAAGAGCCAAATAAGCACAATCTTGCCTTTTCTAAGCAAAAACAAAAAAGTCAAATTAGCAGGAAAGAGGAGTCTTCTATTATCTACTTACGTCCTAACACAAGATGTTCTTGTCCACATCTATGCCTTAAATTACCTACCACTGACAGATATACTGAGAAATTCCAAAACACTCATGTAAAACTCAGATCTTTTGCCCAAGTTTCCACATTAATGTATCTAACTGCTTTCATTTTTCCAGACATCATAAATTGAACAAGTCAAAACTAAACTATCAACTTCACCTCAAACCTACTAATTCCTTTAGTCCTTATTCTCAGCAAATAGTATCACCATTAACTTGGTTGTACAAGCCAGAAATATACATGTGATTCTTGACACCCCTCAACTTCCATATCCAAACAATCACCAAGTCCTTTAGCGTCATTCAACTTAACTATCTCATAAATTCATCCACTTTAATTCATTCTCAACATTATTACCAATCGGTAAGATCAATATTTGGAGATTTACATGTTGGAAATAAACTAGTTTTTTTCAAGGCACAATTCAAGTAGTTTTATAAATATCACCTATTTAGAATTAATTCTCCTCCAAAAGTGAGTAATTAATCCATTTGATATAAATTATGATAGGGTTATCCCCTCATACTTAGTATCATTCATTACAGGTACCACATAAAACAAGCTGTGACTTAACAGAATCGATTTTTTCTCCCTATTAATTCTTGCAGATTATACATTTAGATAATAAATTCCGTATTTTCAAAACATAAACTCTGATTCAGTTCTGATACTGTACTTTAAATTTCAATATCTGCAAGATATATTAAAAAAAGCTATGTTCACGAGCAAGTAAAAATATGCATCAGGGACCTAGAATTGGTCAATACATACTAGCAAATATAAAAAAAATGTACTCTTACAGCACATAACAGTTATCTTTTAAAAGTACAAATTCGTTATGCTTATAAATCAACTCTTTATCCTTTTCTAAAATATCTGGCCACAGATCTCTTGATTCTTCACCTCATACCCAAAACCTGCTCCTTCTGCTATTTTTGCCATCTCAGTTCAATAGCACCACCCAACTACTGAGGTCAAAATCTTGAAGCCATCCTTGACTCCTTCCTTTTTCTCACATATAACATACAGTGTATCAGCAAATCCTGTTGGCTCTACATTCAAAATATATCCTAAATCTGACCACTTCCCATTTGCTCTTTCAAATCACTATTATGCCTCATCTGAACTTATGCTACAGCCTCCTAAATGTTCTGCTTGCTTCTATTCTTATGAACCTATACTCTGTTCTCTCAGATCTTGTCACTTAAATGTTAAAATCCTCCAGAAGCTTCTCAGCAGATACTCAAAATAAAATTCAAAGTCCTTCTACCAACATCTGTCTATAAGACCCTAATTATCCAATCTCTGACCTCATCTTTCTACTACAGTCTACTTCACATACTCCACTCCAGTCACACAGCCTTCCTGGCTGGACTTCAAATATGCCAAACATAATCCAGTCTTGGGTATTTGTACTTGCTGCTCTTTCTCTCTAGAATGTTCTCTCCTTGGACATTCATATAACTTATTCATTATTATTCATGACTCTGCTCAAATGTCTCCTTATCAGAGAGAACTACCGTAACACCTCATCACTATCCTTTTAACTCCTGCACTGTAATAGCATTTATTATTTCCTGATGTTACATTGTATACATATTATTTTAAGTTGATTGTCTCCTCCTCTTAATATAAGCTTAATAAGAGATTTCACCTTTTATCAGCACTGTGTCCCCAGCACTTAGAATATTACCTAACACATAACATTCAATAAACATTTTTTAAATGAATGAAACTAAGACCAGGTGATATAATAACAAAAGCAATCAATTTTTAACAAGTGACATACCATCATATTCTTTTTGAATAAACTTTTCCAAGCTAATTAAAATTTGCTCCCTGTTGTGTTGTTCAGAGAAAGGCGGTGATAGCTCATCTAAGTTAAAAAAAAGAAAAAAGAAAAGTAAAGAAAATGGAATCTGAAAATGTCTTCATATTTTTACCCTAAAAACTTTACTTAATATTTCTACATTTGTTGACTTCTCTGACTAGAAAGTCATAAATGTTACTGCTAAAGGAAGGGGCAGAACAGCAAAAAAAATAATTTTTATAGGTCTATGTACATTTCACATGGTCATTTTCCTTATGATATCTACAAAATATATTTATGTCTACAAATTATTTTTGTTTTCTTCCGACATTACTCTGTCTCCCATATACATTCTTATTTTCCCTCCTGTTAAAATTATACTCATATTGTTACATTAGGCACCTGACCCATTCAAACCTAATAGTTGCCACAAATGCCTGGTCAAGATTCACATCTTCCTTATAAGCTGCTTTACCCACAGCCTTCAAACACCTCTCAACTGAATTCCCTTAGTTCTCCAAACTGCTTGCCAGTTTAGTTTATACTGTCAGTTTTCTAGTTACTTCATTTATGTTCACCTTATTTTTCCAAATAAGACCACATATTCCTTAGGAGGTCTTTTTTTTTTTTCTGTATCTCTTCCTCGACTCATCCCCAAGAGTTAAAACAGTAATGGGAACAAAGCAGTAATTTACTGTAATGAATTCAATTAATATTCAGCTTTTGAAAAACAAATGTAGCATCAGTTGTAAATTGAATAACTGAAATACAGGTGATTTTTTTTTTTGAGTGGTAAAACTATTCTGTATGATACTCCAATGGCACATGACATGGTGCACTCGTGAAAACCCACAGAACTCTGCAGCACAAAGTGTGAACTTTAAGGGCATACAAATTTTAAAAACTCATCTAGGAGGTCAGGGAATCTCACAATGGTATGCAAGCTGTAACTAAAGAATCTATTATAAATGTCTAAAACAACTTCACTCAAGGGAGTGGGGGGAAAGATGCTAACATAAGTAACTTTGAAAATCAGTGGAGGTGTTAAGTCTAAGGGTGAAACTGCACATAAGCACCATACTCTAATTAATAAAGTTGTTTCCCCACAGAGGTACAGGATAACAGTTTTGATAATGCTAGAGAAATGTACTTAAATGGAACAATTAAATGAGTGGCAGATAGTGGGAGCCAGATTTCTCACTCACTTTTGGAGTAGAAAATTTTCAGATAAACAGGGAGAAGAGGCTAATATGAGCCATGTGGTAATGTATTAGAGTTGGAGACATCAGTACAAAGTCCTGTTTAGCTTAACATAGATTAAGATGATCTCAGAAAAATATTTATAGATATATGTTTACATATGGGTTAGTATACACACACAAGTTTTCTTGCTCAGAGAGGACCTAGAATCAACATCACCAGTAATAACAAGCACCCTAGCATCCAGATCTTGGTTTCTAATACCCTTCTCCAATGAAAGGAACCAGGGCTCTTTGGAGAAATGTCTAATTCTAGGACCAGGGCAGGAAATACATCCATGATGAGCCTGGAGCATCTTGTAATGCCAGAAAGTAAAGAAGGAAGTGCTAAAAAAGCAAACATACAGTGATAGGGGTTCATCAAAGGGACACATGAGACAACTGAAAACGATCCCAATAGCCAAATCTGGAAAATTTGAGCAACAAAATAAACTGGTATTGGATTAAAACCCAAAGTATAAAATATCCATGAGTCCATATTGAGATAACTGAATAAATTAAAAACAAACAGTGAATTATACCTTAACAAAGCTGTTAAACAAAAATTGTGTCATGATTTGCCATTCAACTCCTAGGTATGTACCCGAGAGAAATTAACACATATGTCCATACCCAGACCTATATACATTAAAGTATACTTCAGATTTATTTGTAATAACCAAAATTTAGAAAGAAATCAAATATTCATCAATGGGTGAATGGTAAACAAATTGTGGCACATCCCTACAATGGAACGTAACTCAGCAATGAAAGGAATAAACCATCACTGATACACACAATATGGGTGAATCTCAAAATAATTATGCTAAGTGAAAGAAACCAGGCACCCTCCACCCGCCACAAAAGAAGGGTATATGCTATGTGATTCTATGTATATAGAGCTCTAGAAAATGCAAACAAACCTATAGTAACAAAAAACAGGTAAGTGGTTGCCTGGCAGGAGGTGGAGATAGGGAAGGGTAGGAGGGAGGAATTAAAATGGGATACTAAATATTACATCAGAAATTTTATCTTACCTGGGACACAGCAAATTATTAAAAAATGTTTGCTGAGTGAAGGTTTATCTCAGGTATACCATAAATGTTTGTTGCATAAAGTACGTAAGGCTTTCCCCAAAATATCTTCATAGCCTTATCTCCCTCTATAACCTTTCTTACACTCTACCAAATCTAAGGCAATTATTCTCCCAAACAAATTTAAACACCTTATACTTTTACGTACAATCTCCTATATCCGAAAACGCAGTTCAAGATCCAAATCAAATGCCACATCATTAATTCCAATTCCTCTGATCTATCCCAATGGATATAGCTAGTATAACTAAGGAACTTAATTTTTCATTTTATTTAACTTTAATTAAGCAACACATACGGACTCTTTATTCCCCTTGGCATTCATAACGATGCCCCCAACATAGTAGGCATTTCATAAATATCTGTAGTTGGGTCTCTAAATTATTCAAAAACCTCTACCAAAATAAATGTAAGCAAACTGTTTTTAAACAAGAAAATAACTAAATAAATAGTCAAAATCTGAAAAAGAATCTAGTCTCAGTGGTTTTACTAATAAAAGACTTACCAAAACATCTCTTACATACTAAATCAAGTATTTCCCGAAATCGATTTGTCATCGGTGGTAGAGGTTTTAGATCAATTTTCCTGAAATCCTCTGGGCAATCATTTTTGGAATGGCCATCCTTTTTGCAGATGCTGCATACTATTGTTGGTGGCTATACAAAGGTAAAAAAAAATTTTTTTTTAAATCTAATCTAATAAACTATTGAGAAACTTCATCATTATTTCGAAAGCACATCTCCAAAAAGAATATTTTATGTAACAGTTTTAAGAACCTATGCTTTCAGGAGATGGGGGGGTGGGGGGGGGGTTGGAGAAACGCATGTTAATGAAATGCTGTTAAACGTAAAAAAATATATTTTGAGCCAACCACTTTAACTTTCTTTCCCACTAAAATAATATTAATAAGGATTAGCTTTACCTGAAGATGTAAAATAAAATACCAGGAGATAAAAAAGGAATGGGTTAATTCAAACAGTTTGATCAGCCCCCAAATGAAATACATGCATTACATTTCAATCTACTAAGATCTTTAACAAAGCAGATTAGTCATACGTCACTTAACCACATGGATGTGTTCTGCAAACATCAGAGTGCACTTCCACAAACCTAGATGGTACAGCCTATTGTACACCTAGGCTGTATAGTACAGCCTACTGCTCCTAGGCTACAAGCCTGTACAGTATTTTACTGTACTGAACACTGTATGCAATGTAACATATTGGTAAGTATTTGTATAGTAAAAATATGGTGTAAAAGATGCATGCGCATGCAGGCGCAAGCACATGCATTTGGGGAGGGCTCTGAATGGAGATACCACTGGAGGGAAAGCAGACATCAGAAGGAGGCAGGAGAAAGGGAGCACAGTGATTCAGAGACCCAGAGAGCTAAAGCTTGAGATGAGAAATAATAGGAGGGGGAGATAAAAGGGGGATGAGAGGGAGAGGGACAGCAGACTGGGAGGAAAGAGAGAAAGAGAAACAGAGGAAAGGGAAGTGAGCATGTGCGCATGAGTGTGTGTGCAAGCGTTGATGCAGACAGCTCCAGGCTGCCTCCTCCCCAGCTCTCACTCCCTCATCAACTCCAGCCCCACGAGTTGGCCGGTACACAACTGGTGGACAGCAAGCAGAGCCTCCTCATCTATTTAAACCACCCAAAGCTAACAGTAAATTCAACATTGTAATCGAGTCCAACCTTTTCTTTCCACATTGAAAATAAACTTTTTGTTTACATTCCATTATAATCTTATGGGACCACCATCGTATGTGCAGTCCATTGTTGACGTAAACATCGTTATATGGTGCATGACTGTATAAAGAAATTTCAAGGGACACCTTTCATTTCACTCTAAACATTTTCTATCTTCAGAATCAATCAATTACAGAACCCTCGCCTGCCTAGTTGGTTCAATTTTTTACATTAGCATGGTACTCAAGAATCCAAACTGTAGAGCTGAACTCTAAAAATAAATTAGCTTCCTATAATAGTCACAAACTTAACTTCAAACCCTATACCACATTTTAAAAGTATTTCAATGCACTACCAAGTAGCTAAAACAGTGAAAACTTAACCCAGCTACTTGATAAAATAAACATATTGTTAAGGAAGAGCACTACTCTTCTTTATTGCAATGTGGTTGGATCCTAGAGTTAGCTTCTCCTTCCAGGGTTAGCCTGGACATTTACCTATCCATTAACTGTGATGCAAATTATATACAGAAACCACTATCTGTGGGAATGCTGTGCTGTGAGCTAATTAACAGTCCCATAAGAATTTGTATCCGCTTTTCAAAACTTTTTTTTTGGCATATTATCAGAAAATTCTAGATATGTTACAGATAACTACAAAAAATTAAAATTGGAGAAACAGTTAACCTAATACAGATTTCGGGGGGGGGGAGTATAAAGTAGAAGAAATGTAAACTATAGTTTACATAACATGCTTTTCTAAAAATTTGCCATTTATTTCATCCTTTCAATAGTTCATATGCCCTAAATACTGCAACCTAAACAAAATGCAATAGATATATCCTTATAAGAATAAAGAAAGACAGCTTAGTCATTAGGTTACAAAAGTTAAAGCTGTAAATAAGTAATTATTGCTAAAACAATAAAACTGGATGACTTTCCAGTCTGTTTTTTAATATTCCACTTGGTTTACACATGCTCTATACAATCATTTTTTCACACTGGGTGCTGATACTATTTCAATTATGAATGCTGCACTTGAAGTAATGTGACTTAGCTAAAATTTTCTTTTATTAACAAAGTACTTATTGCTTATATTCTGTTCATTGGGGTATTTTATTTTCTATAATTTATCAAGTTCAAGTTCAGACTATGCCATTTTAAAAGTAGAAAAGTTAAGACTCCCATAATTTATAAGGGACATGCCAAAATCCACAGTGAAGCTCAGCAGCACAGACAGAATCTGGATTCTTCACTTTTATGGTTTCTGCTCTTCGTTTTCACTCAACTATCTTTAGTATACTCACCCTCCCCAACCACCCTATCTCTACTAAAAAAAAAAAAAAAACTTTAAAATAGAATACTATTAGTTTACAAGCCTTGTATTCTCATTTGTGGAAGAAAAAAATAATCATTATGTATTAAAAAAATAAGCAAAATTTAAAATACATGTTGCCTTTGCCAAACTGATTTTCATAAAATAGCTCAATAATTCTTTCATATATGAGAAAACGAAGCAAACCAGCTAGTAATAGAATGCTGAAACTTTTTGGGGTTTTATATACATTCTTTAAAGGCAACCATTAGCAAAATGCAGTAAGTAAAATTAATATACCAAAATATCATTCCAAAATTACTGTCTACTATTATAAAAGCTATTTTTACATTTCAGAATTTAAAAACTATAGTCATACAACCACCACAAAATCTTCCAGATTGTTTACAAACTGTATCCTACCTTGCCAGAGGTTAAAATAAACTTATCAAACACATAATATAATTCCTGGATGGGGTGTTTATCATCAACATTAAGGTCAGAAGCATCTTCTGTAGCTTTGCAGTTGCAAGAGGTAGCAGGTATGTCGGTGCACGCAATCTGACGTGACCTCTCTGTTTCTAAATTTGACCTGCAGTCTGTACCATCAGACTCATTTGGGTCAGGGGACTTATAATCAATGCAATTACATTGGCTGAGCTCCTTTTTAAAACAAGTCTCTGAAGGCGTTAAATCATCCTGCTTCTTAATCGATTTTGGCTCTAATTCACTTCCTTCACTGGTAGAAAGAGATGAAGATTCCAGTCCATGTTCAGCCAAAACCGGTTCATTTACCAACAAATTGTCATCTTCAGTAATACATCTCTGTGATGTACATTCCATTTCATTACATCTATCAGGATGACCTCTTTCTGCATTTATTTTTTCTGTGCTTCCCTCAAGTTGAATGCAACAACTGGATGCCACATTGTCAGACTTCAAAGGCTTCTTATTACTTATTTTCCCCTTCTCTTTTTTCATGGAATCCACTGTAGATTTATTTGCACCCTTCCTCTGAGGACAGGCAAAATATCGATAAGCTGCCCTGAATCTCTCCACAACATATTCATAAACAAGCTGGCTGTTTAAGCTCCGTGCAACATTCCTCTTGACTGAAAATGGATCTAGTAAAAAAGAAAATGGTTAGCAGCCAAGTATATACTAACAAACTACATTTCCAAGCTTATACAAACAGATCTTAACTGCTAGATTGTCAGCAGAGTACATTTTCCAAAGTTTTCCTAAAGTCCCATGAGAAATACAATAGCAACATCTTTTCCTTTGTTTGTCATAAAATAAAAAACTAAAAGGAAAAGAGAAAAAAAAGCTTAATAATAAGGTAATTAATGAGACGATGACTGAGGAGACCAACTCAGAATTACAGTTTCAATGATGAAATTACTAGAAAAAGGTATCCCTATACTGTCACTGAATGAAATTTTTCAAGCTCATCTCATCATAGTATTCTTTAGTTACATATTCCTTGGAATTTAAACAAATAAAACCTAATCTAATACTCTCAAAAGCTACAACTTAAAAAAATACTGATTTTCAGATTTAACTTCAGTGAAATCAGAAAATTAGAGAAATGAGAAAGAGAAAAGCAGAAAGAGACCTAAGAACGTGAAATTAAACCAAAATTTAAATTTTGATGCTATCTAAAATGGGTATGCTAAAAAGGCTTGCATCAACTCAGACGCTAAAAATGTTTATGAAGATGAATTATGACAGCTATAGGTTTCAGAATGCATTATTTACTATATGTAAAAGAGTACAAGATGTGAGTACACGCTTGAGCGTATGAGAATATTTGTGGGTCCAATTCACAGTAGAGAAGGCCAGTAGGGAACTAAAGGAACAGAAAAATATATAGTCTAAACAGACAAAAATGATGGACAGAAATTCAATTTCCTATCTATAAAGTGAGTGGAGTTTAAATTTTTGATTAAGAATTTAGGGCCGGTCCAGTGGCTCAGTTGGTTAAGAGCTCGCTCAAGAGTGCGAGCTCTGAGCAACAGCTGTTCGAGTTCCAGCCTGAGCTAAGCTGCCGCTGAGCTGCCAACAGGTGGCAGGATGGCTCAACTAAAAAAATAATAATAAAAAAAAATAAATTTAGAAGCCATTCTATTAGTTTCTGTATTGGTAAAGATCTTAATGTTCTTGGAATTTGATGTGAAACCTTATTTGTCAACATCAATTGTTCTTTTTTCTTTAGCTTAGTCACATTTAACAGATAAGGTACTTCAGAAGACAACAAAAAACTAGATTTTAAAATTATACGTTAGGGCCAGCCAAGTGGCGCGTTGGGTACGAGTTGGCTTGGGATGCCTGCTTTCAGCAGCAGGGGCCTGGTTCGGATCCCACATTAGGGCGAGTGACGCTACGCCCTCTACAGCTAAGATGGTAAACAACAGCTCGACCTGGAGCTGGGCTGCAGTGAGTCACCAGCGACAGTGTAGGCTGCAGTGAAGCTGCAGTGGGCTGCCATAAGCTACCATGAGTGGCTGGCAGGCAGTGTGAGCAGCCGGCAGTTAGCGTGAGCTGCCGTGAGCTGCTGTGAGCTGCCGTCCAGTGGCCGGAAACTGATCTGCCTCACCCTAGAACAACGATAATACCAACAGGGGCCAGTGAAGCAGCGTCCTCCACAACTAGACTGAAGAACAAAAGGACAGCAACTTGTCTATTCCCCTTCCCTGATTCCCCAATGCTGTTCCCCTCCCCCAGTTCCCCAATAAAATCTTTAAAAAAAATAAAAATTAAATTATACTTTTAACACAATTTTACGACACAAATTTATTTAAAAAGATATAATATTCATAAAACTATTTTATTTTTCTATATTTAATATTTTTTTCATAACTAGAAATTAAAATTAAGGCATATAAATAAGCTAATAACCCTAATAAATACAAATATAATATTTACAGATTAGAAGCCTTTAAATAAGTATTAATCCTATAATGAACTTGATAAAGAATTTATCTAAAATATATAATGACAACCTACTGACATATATAGCGCTACAAAGGATAGAATTAATAATATTGTATTGGAAACAGATGATGAGAGGCACACAAAAAAATATTCTCCAAATGATAGATATATAACATATCATCTCACCTTCAATGGCTATTCGCCTTTTGGGCCAGTTTTTGTTTTCTCTTGTTAAAATATCTTTTATCCGTACACATATTACATATTCCTCCAAAGCAAAATCCAGTGTGTAAAATTTTAGCAGCTCTAACCATAATTGTCCCAGGGGTACCTGATGTGGTGTTTCCAATGTTAAAGGAGACTGGAAAGAAAAAATACTTTTCATTTAAGTTTCACAAAACTAAACTATTTAATTTCCAGTTTAAAAAAAGACTTAGATATCATTTTTTCAAAAACTGGGCATAAAGGGGTAACTTTCCAAAAAGTAGTTTGTGGCATACCTGGGAACACAATCCCAGTTTACTGACTCCTAGGATTTTTGTTCTTTCCACTAAACCAGTGATTCTCAACCATTGTTGCACATTAGAATCACAGTGGGAGTATTAAAATACACTAATACCTGAGTTATACACCACTCTCACTTCCCTACTCTTCCCAAGATCCTAATTTAATTGACCTGGGCATTGGGATTTTTAAAGCTCCCTAAGTGATTCTCATGTGTAGCCAAGGTTGCAAACCACTGGATAATGACCACTACAGTTCCTCACTGGAGTATTTACTTTTAAAATCTAAGTAAATGCCCTGGACTTTCAAAAACTAATTCCTTCATTTGGCAAACATTTATTTAGAACATACTATGTCCCTGGCATTGTGCTGGGATATAAAAAAATGATAGCTCACATTTACACATAATGCTCACCATTCATTCTTCTAAATGCTGAGCATGTAATAACTACTAATTCTAAATACTCTATGAAGGAGATAATATAGGACAAAAATTTAACTCAGAGCACCTGGCTACTGCTTCCATGTTGCTAATCACTATAACATAATGCCACCCAAATAAGGGAAGATCCTACTTCATGGACTATTAAGAGAGGAAGAGACAATTTAGCAATTACAGTAAAGGCTACATGCTAAAATGGGCCTCTAATGTGGTGGAGTGGGGGGAATATAACAGAAGAGTTAATACCTGAATTCTAAAGGAATAAGCTACGAGATAAAGACTGGCTAAAAGTGACCACTTGGGAACATAAAGGCATGAAACAGTCATTCACTCATTCAATTCTGTAACTATTAACAGAGTGCCTACTATGTGCCAATCACTTGGGATAGATACATTGGATAAAAAATAAAAAATAATAAAAACAAACAAAGATCCCTGCCTTGGTGGAGCTTACTTTCCAGGGAAGAAAAAAATAAACAATAAACTTAATAAGTAAATTAATAGTAAGTTAGAAGAAAACTTCTGTGGAAATAAGAAAAAGTTCATTTGGTTTAGTAAAGGAGATGGGAGTATGGGAGCAGGAGATAGTTTCAATGTTAAATAGAGTGGTCAGGAAAAGACTTGATGAGAAGGTATGATTTGAAGAAGAGGGAAAAGTGTTCTTCTAGGAATAGAAATAGCAAACATACTAAAGTAGGAGTGTGACTAGCTTTAAAAAGAAAACTAAGAAACCTAGTATGGTAGAGAAAGGGGAAGAAGAGAAAAACAAAGACCTAGTCAGTAAGAACTACATTAAATTCTACATTTAAATGAGCAACTGAAGCGTTTTGAGTGTGGGGAGGGGAAAGGGCATAATCTGACTTAAGTTTTGGAAGAACCATTCTGATTGTTGTGTTGAGAATAGACTATAAGGGGCAAAGGTAGATGCAAGAAACTTATTATGACGCTATGGTACAACAGAAATCCAGGCCAGAGATGACGGTGGCTAGAACCAGCATGGTAACAGTGGGGGTGGTGAGAGGTGGTCAAATTCTGGATATAAATGAAGTAGGGATGACAAAATTCCGACAGACTTGGTATGAGGTATGAAAGAAAAAAGTAAAGGATGACCCCAATGTTTCTGACTGAGCAACTAAAAGGATATAGTACCATCAACTGAGATGAGAAAACTGCATGTGGAGCAAGGAGAAGACCAGGAGTTGAGTTTTACATTCGTTAAGTTTAAGACATCTATTACACATCTATGTAGAGATGTTATATATAAGCAGCTGGAGAAAAAAATCATAGCATTCAGGAGAGAGATTTGGCTGAAGATTTAATTGGGGAATCATAATCATACAGATGGTACTTAAAATTCATGGGATTGGATAAGATCACCAAAGGAGTGTAGATAAAGAAAAGCGGGGTCACACCTTGGAGCACTCCAACATTAAGAGACTAGAAAGGTTGAACCAGCAAAGGAAACTGAGAAGGAATAATCAGCCATGGGTATAATACCCTGAATGTAACGTTAAGGAATTTTTCAGAGAAGGAAATAATCAATTGGCAAATGTTGCTGATAAGTCAAAAAAGATAAAAATTGAGAAATGGCCATTAGATTTAGCAATGTGGAGGATATTGATATAATAATACAAGTTTTGGCATACTGATGGGGGTTGAAGCCTGATTAGAATGAGTTAAGAGGAAACAAAAAAATTGAAAATAGTGAATATAGATAATTCTTTCAAATAGTTTTACTGCAAAAGGAGCAAAAGAATAGTTGGAAGGGAAGTGGTTGCTGAGGTTCTTCTTTAAAATGGGAGATAAAAACATGTTTGATTCAGTAAAGAAATTGGTAACTTGGGAGGGAAAGAGAAGAACTGCTTGAACAATGTTCCAGATAGACAAAAAGGGATGGGACTAAATACACAAGTGGAGAAAAAGACTTTAGATAACAACATGGGAAGTTCCTTTCTATTGTAAAAGCAGGCAGCAAGGCATATTCGAATATGTGCGTGAAGACTGTGATAGATGGTGGGGGGAGTGCATAGAAATTCTCTTTTGATTGCCTCAGTTTTCTCAGTGAAGTAGTAAGCAAGATCATTAGCTGATAGTATTAGTGGTTTGAAGAGAGGACAGTAAGTAGTCTAGGAAAATAGGAGTTGAATGAACTGGGAACATATATTCAGGGAACTACATGAGCAATGATTTCAGTAATGTTCACATTTCTGTAGTATAATATGTCTACCTACTTCAAAAGTAGACTACATGCTACTGGAGGACACAATCCATGCATATTCAACTTTGGTTCTCTAGCACTCAAGGTAATGCCTGGCTCTTAAGAGGTCCTTAATAAACGAATGCTGAATGATTAAATAAGCAAGGCACCCACTGGGCCTTTCTTTCTCCACCAGTCTGGCAACATAATTCTCATATGCTAAAAGTTTTGGTCACAACCCAACTCCTGAAGGAAATTTTTCTTATCTAAATAAAAAAGATACAAAGAATTACTTTGACATGATTCAAACAACAGAAGTCTTCCAAAATGAGTTATAAATTCATTAGGGAATCTTGGTACTGAAAAACTAAACCAGATCAACCCCTCACTTTACAGATGAGGAAAATGAAGCCAAGAGGCTTACTCAAGGTCAGTCAATCTACTTTTAAAATAGCTTCAATCAAAGGCATTACAAATTCTACAGATAGAAAAGCCAAAAACAAAAAACAAAAAAAGCTTACTTTGCCATGCTTTTCCTTCATGGCATTACTTTGGTTGTCTGTTTCTCTCTTCTTGGTATCATCTTTTGGTTGGTCTGCCTTAGCTTTGTTTTCCTCAGCAATTGAGTTTTTTTCAGTTCCACTACTTGCATTATATTCCCACTTCACAAACTTTTCTTCTACTATGCCCTTCAGCTGAAAGTCATCCATTCTTTTTGGGTCAAAGCCTTCAATCTACATAAAAAGGCATTTCAAATTGGTAGTGTAAAAATTATTTAAAAAAATAAAAAGATGGACAAACAGACAAACTGGAATTTCAGCTTAAATTGTTTGAACAGAGCTCTCTGTAAGAGCATGTAAGAACAAACTATATAGATATATATATCACAAACTCATGCTTACCCAACTTCCAAGTAAACAAGGAAGAAGAGGGGGTTTTCTTTGTTGTAGAAAAAACATCACCATTAAAGCAAAACAGTAAGAAGGAATTCCACCATCAGTTTGGGAGTCAATATAGCACAACTGCAAAATGAAGGGGGAAAAGTACCACCATTTACCTTTCTTTAATTTTTTTTTGTTCCCCTCACAATAAAAGAAGTAAGGATATTTGTAGTAAGGTTTAGAGTGTATATGACTGGGGAGGGGGGTCCCCCTACCATAATCATTGTAAAAAGTATAAATATATGATTATGTAAGTGTGTGTGCCTGTGTATATACCAGGGGTGCTAAAAACATGTATATTAAGTGGACACTGTGGTCAACATTACTCAAGCAGTAGTTCGCCGTAATCAGAAGTGTCTGGATGTTGATGGTAACCACTTTGAGCACCTCTTGTAATTGCGGAGGTCAAACGTGACTTGTATTCATCTTTTGTTATCGGTATATATTATTATAATTTTAATACAGTTTTCCTTTCTTAAAATGTATATACATTTTTTGGCACCCTATTTATGTATGTATGTATATATGTATAAAATGTAAGGAATGACCTGAAATCTCACCACCCTGAAATACCTATTAACATATTGCTGACTATCTTTCCATTCATTTTTTATTGCATATAAAGACTTACATTTTAGTTAAATGGAATCATATCATACACAGTACTTTTACTGCGGACACCTTTTTAAAATGTTATTTTCTTCTCTTGCTTCTACTTCTGCCTCATGTTAATAATCTTTTATGTACTTCTGGGCTTTCTATTCTGTCCCATAGAATCTGTTTGTCTATTCCTATGCTGATGGTATACACTTGATTAAATCAGTTTTATAGTGGCAAAGTAGGCTAGTCTTCTCTTTCTGAGTTCCTTTGACTATTCTCAAACATTTATTCTCACATACTAACTTTAAGACCATTTTATCAATTTTTTAAAAACTCTTAATGATTCCAATTAAAATTATTGTACATTTGAAAATTAATTTAAGGCAATACTACAGATATCATTTTAAAGAAATCATCATCCTATCCAAAAACTTGGTATCTGTATTTTCCAAAAATTTAGGAGTTGTCATCAATTACTCACTTCCCCTCAACTCTTATATCCAATACCTCTGCAAGTCCTGCCTATAAAACTTATCCCAAATCTCTCTAATTGGCTTCAGATCCACTCTAACCTTACTACAGATATCCATAACAATTTTGTCCCCACATATTATGACTTATGTTACAGGTTAACTGCAGGAGAAAGCCTGAGTTACCTTAAAGATTAGGTACTTTTTTCTTCTGTTCCACTCACCTTAGCCCAATAGCGAAAGGCTAACACCAAGGGAATAAAGACAGGTTCCATTTTGCCAAGAGCAGCAAGTAAATCAGTAGTGAGGCATGCCATATCATTTCCTGCACTCACTCTACAAAGTAAACCACTGTGAATAAGAAATGAATTTCACTGTATTAATACCTTAAAAACCAGAATACTTCAAATTCTGTGGCTATCCTTTCCAATCGCGATATTTTAATAGCTAGGAAGCCATAATAAAAACAAATGTTTTAATAAACTTAGAGCTAACTGAAAACTATGCACCAGTTCCATTGCTAGAGTTCCATAAATTAAAGATATTTTAAATGTTCATTTGTGCTTCTTAATAAATTTCAAATCATTTAGTATTTAAGTTCATGAGATATTAATTACAAAAGCAGCATTATGATTCACCAAAATTTGACTTATATGAGTGAAAAGACATTGATCTTGTCAATGTCAAATAGGGCAACATACGTTCTTAGTTCATTATTTTTGCTTTGCACAGGATAAAACCAAAAAAATAGAATTCTGAACTGATTAGCTATACTTCTTGACCCTCTTTTTTCCTATCCAAGTTTTCATGATTTTATTGATATGCTATTCTTAGATTAGAGATTAGAAAGGATTTATGTATTAACCCACAAGTAATACTTAAATATAAGTGAAAATAGAAGCTACCTTAAATGGGGTAACAAAACTATAGGAGAGATATTTTGGTAGCAGAGAGAAGAATTTATCTGAGGTTGCCACACAGAGGCAATCTGACACAATGTGATGGAAAAAACACTAAAAGTCAGAATACCTCCAGTCCAATTCTGATTTTACCCTACATGGTGTGAATTTGGACAAATCACTATTTGTCCTCCAGTTATCAATTTTCTAATTTAAAAAATAAGGAAGATCTCTATAGATCCTTCTAGCTTTGAATAAGAAAATATAATAATCTTAATATATAAAATATACAGGTTAATAACAGAAAACTTTATTATTTCTGTATTGTTTTCATGTCTCCCATATTGATCTCAAATAGGATTATTTTAGTTTCCTTTTTCAAAAGTACTTTGCTCTCTCAGTCCTATAAACATCTGACTAGAAAGGCAAGATTAGTCTTCAATGACTCATTCAATTTCAGTGAACTAAAAACTAGATTCTGATAGACTGCAAGCTCCTGGAGAAGAGGCTATTTCTTATTTATACCTGTAGCCCTACAGCAAAGTGGTGACTAACATGTAGTAAATGTTCAATTACTGTTGGGTGAATAAACTCGAAAAAAAAAAGTTCTGCTTCAGAGTGTTTTATTTTTAACTGTCTGGTAGTTCTATTTCTTGTTCATATGTTTTTAGTAAGCCTGCTATTTTAATAAATAGAAACTAGCTTAGTCATATTAATCCAAGGAGAAATCTAAAACAAAAATTTTCTCTCTTGGAGATGTTCACTGCATATCATTAGTTTTAAAAATACTTCATTGTTACCAACCTTTTCCGATCTTTGCACACCACAACAGGAACTTTAGCATGAAAATCAGATTCCACATCTACATATAACACTAACAAGGAAAAAAAATAAAACAAGTAAGCTAATGTCAACATCTCTAAAATGTTTACTTTATGGTAAATGTTAAGTTTCCTTATAAAAATCACTCTCATTCCTTCGTGAGATAATCCACTCTTTTCGTTAAGAACATCAACCCAACAGAATCTCTTCTTACCTCTCAGTATTATTTGCTGTATATCACAAACCACAGGTATAGTCCCAAATACTGTCTGAAAATTATAATCACCAAAAGAAAAGAGGTTTTACCATCCCTAAAAGTTTGAATATATCCAAGTAAGTATATAATCTAGTCAAAGTTAAACCTTCATAGGTACAGCAAACGGAGGACACCACCTACTTCTGAGGGCTATTTCCACAGAATCACAAAATGAAAACCTACATTGTTTTAACCATTTAGTTCTTTTAAATATCCATGCAAGTAAAAGATTAACTCTGCTGGCCCCAATTCCTGTAAACATATGAAGAGTCTGCCCAATTAAAGGTTCTATGCAAGGACTAACAGGGTGAAACATATTTCCACTCTGAAGTCTATCTCTATATCCCCAAGGTAGGCCCTATGCCATAAATGTCTAATCCAAATAAAAACAGATAGATTAACATTATTTCATTTGAAATTTAAAGAAAATCTCTTAGTAGTACTTATTAGAATTGTTACTTTATCCAAAAAACTTTCCACCGTTAAGTGTATGGTGGGAAGTTTGTAAACTTAACTCTCCACCTTGTATATCAGGAGTTGCATTATGCATGGTAGATACGACAATGAATAAGACAAAAGAGCTCAATTAGGGGTTTGGAAAACAAATATATAAACCAACAAATCCTATAGATGACAGGATAGAGGTCTTTAAAGAGTACAATGAGGGCATAAAAAAGAGAATAATCAATTTTGTAATTGGCAATTTTGCAAACCTGTTATGTCACTTAAGATGACTGACTCATGTATTTTAGTGGAAAAGACACATTTAAAATATTTTTGCTAGGCTGATATCTCCAGCGAGTCTAAAAGCTCTGTGTCTACCTCTTATCTGTAATATGCTTTAAAATTTTTATGCAATTAGAGACAAGTGTTTATTAAGAAAGAACACAATATTAATATCCCTTTACAAGATAAACTGGAACAAATTAATCCCTTAAAAATAATTTCCCAGGAAAATGACCAAGAAGACGCTATTAAATAATGGAGAGCTACTGGGGCAAATAGAGACAGAAAGGAAGTTTAGAACTGATATTAGAGCCAATGAGAAGGTAAGGCTAAGCTATCTTTTCTAAGCCAAATTGTAAATATTTTTGCCAGGTACTTTTATTTAATTATTTACTTTTTTCAGTTACAGTTGACATTCAATATTATTTTATATTAGTTTCAGGTGTACAGTATAGTGGTTAGACATTTATATAATTTATGCAGTGATTCCTGGGGTTAGTCTAGTACTCACCTAACGCTATATATAGTTGTTGCAATACTGACTATATTCTCCATGCTGTACTTGCCCCTGTAACTATTTTGTAACTATCAATTTGTATTTCTTAATCCCTTCACCTTTTTCACTCATCTCCCCAACCCCCCGCCCCTCTGGCAACCATCAGTTTGTTCTCTGTATCTATGAGTCTGTTTCTATTTTGTTTGTTCATTTACTTTGTTCTTTAGCTTCCACATATAAGTGAGATCACATTGTATTTGTCTTTCTCAGTTGTCAGGTACTTCTGATTCATAAAATTTTAAATGACAATAGTAATAATAATCCCAGCAACATAAATTTAATAAGTTACTGTATACCAGGCACTTTTCTAAGCTACAGCTTAACCCATTTCATCCTCACAACCTTCTCATCAAAAAGATACCTGCATTATTGCCATTTTACCAATGAGAAAACTGAAGAATGAACATTAAATAATTTATCAAAGAACATACAACCAGTAAGTAGCAAAAATAAAACCTGAGTCTGGCTCCAGATCCTGAGCTCTTAAGAGCATTTAATTCATAACAAGAAAAGCAGTAAATAAAAACCAAGAAAATAATATTCCAGATTGCACTACATGTCCCAAGGCCTGATTTGGAACAATTGTAATTTTTACAAGTTTTATTTTAAAAATATTTTTACTTATGTGAATGTCCTTTTTACATCAAAAGAAATCCAGACAGATGACGCACATATGAAAAGCTTACTAAGTATGATTTGTTTGATGCAATATAAATGATTAAATTAGGTTGATAAAATATATTTACTCAATGAATGCATACATTTTCCCCAACATCTCTCTCTAAATCTCCCCTCACCAAAGACTTCCCAATGATTATAGCTTTTCTTTTACACAAGAAATGCTCTTTTACACAAGAAATGTTCATAATACTCTAAGTTAACATTTCTAAATTACCCAAAAGGCAGTAGATTTTACGTATCAACTTTAAATATAATACTTTTGATCTAATCAACACATAAGTTTTCTTGTACATCTAAACAAATACATATATAAATGTCCTTATGTAATAAGACTCAAATATGCTAGGCGTTTTAGTTTAACTTGGTTAGCCATATATAAACAACACAACACATGTACCTTTAAAAAATTTTCTTTAGAAAGACAAATTTAAAAAGAAACTTACCACTTTTTTTTAAAATCCCAAGTACTTTTATCAGAAGATCTGGATGATTCATCTAAAAAAATTTCAAATTAAATCAATATACTAATTTCAAAGTTCAAGTTGCAGAACTTTAGGGAGAATTCAATTTCTTTAAACGTTTAAATAAAATCATCCTCTCTACTGAAAACAGAATAGTGTTTTACTTTTATGTTAACAAATCTTGTTCATGGAAGTAGAATCTAATAAATCATGTAATGCTATTATTCAAACAACACTCCTCGAATTAATGAGTTTTTAGAGTAAGAAAAGATTCTGGAATTTTACAGCAAAACAAATGAAAAAAATTAGTTTACCAAATGACTGTTAAAGAGAAGTTGTTGCAATAAAAAATTTAAGGGCTACTGATCACTGCCAGCATGACCAAAAGGCTTAGAATAAAATACTATTTTAAATAAGAAGCTTATCAAATGTTTAATTTAGTATGCATTTTGCAGTTATTTTAAAGTATTTAATAATCATACATTAATTACAAGTAAATGACTGTATCAGACTAGAAATTAAAACATCAAATTTTCACCCAAATCAAACCTTAAGCATAAACTTATTCAAAAAATTAAAAACAAATAAAATGTCAATTGATTATTTTACATGTTTGATATATCAATAAATAAGCAATGTTAGCAGTGCTTTTGGTACTTTTGAAAATGGAACTAGCTACTACTTATTAAAAGTATCCACAATGCACCAGGCATTACAGTACCAGGCATTATACAAAAACATATGGTATATATAATCTTATTTAATATAAAATTTATTATCCCTGTTTTGGAAATTAGGAAGCTGAGGCTCAGAAAGGTCAAGTAACTTGCTCACTGCAGATAAGGTTTGAACACCAATGTACGATTTCAAAGTTTTTTCCACTTTCTATACTACTTACCATAAGCAGTAACTGTTCTACATGCTCAAATATAAGCATTTTTTCTTTTTTTAATGACTGTCTTCCTGTTTCCTTTTTTTTCTGTCCCTTATTTCTTTTATTCCACCTATGTTGACACCTACTAGTAATTTCCAAAAGCACTGTTTAATCATAATGGTAACTTCTACAAGCCAGAGTTTTACAGTCCCCTACACCTCTACTAAAAAGATAATCAATAAAAAATACCAAGTACTAGTTAAGAACCACACAGGAAAAGTTCCTCTCTAACAACTTACCTTGGGAGGAAATTTTATATCTATGTTAACATCACTACTTTTCAGAGCAAACTTGGTCAGAGACGAGCCATACAACCTAAGTGAACACTCTGGAAAAAAAGGAAAAAAAACCAAAGCATGAAATAGCATGCAGATATGAAAACTTAAAAAACAGTGGTAGGAAAATTGCATGTATTTCAATTCTATGTCTTCCAATTCTAGTAGAATGGCATCCTTTCTGACTGACCTACAAAATAATAAAAATATTTTTCAGTTATGGGAGAGAAGATAGAGAGAAATTACTCATAATAGTTCAGTGTTTAAACAAAATTTTAGTAATAGTTCATTTAGGAGTGGCTAGACATATGTTTAACATTTACTATGTAACAGTAAAGAATGTACTAACCAGCTATAGCTACTGGCACAAACTATTTATTTTTAGTTATGTATAGATATTCAACGCAATGCTCTTTAAACATACAAAGTGCAGCCAATTCAATTGATATTGCAAACCTAAAACTGTGAATATTGCTAACCTAAAACTGAAAATACTCTGTGGCTTTCAAGAGTTTGTAGAACAAATAAAAATAATAACATGCAACCTACATCTTTCTCAGACTATCAAATATGACATTTCAAAAATTACAATGCAAATTTTTAAAGGATCTCACTAAAGGACAAGTTGAAAACTAACATGATTGGGCTTGATCAGGCAGGTTTAGTTTTTTAGAAAGTTTAAGTTTATACTCAGTTGTTTATATAGAAGTTTACTTTCCAAGTTCACAAAATGTCTGAAAATCATTCAAGTGATTAAAATAAAAACATTGTCATTTCTACTCTTATAATAACAATGAATTAATTATATATATAACTTAAATTAGTATTCAATATATTTTAGATAGAAAAATCACATTTCAGGAATAATAAAGAGAAATGAAAATGCTTTCCATTTTTAAATTTCAATTTTATATTCTTATAAATCTCAAAATAGCTCTTTATGAAAACTAGAAGGCCGGCTGAGTGGCTCAATTGGTTAAGAGCTCGGTCAAGAGTGTGAGCTCTGAGTAACAGCGGTTCGATGCCTGGCCCGAGCTGAGTTGCCACTGAGTTGCCAACAGGTGGCAGGATGGTTCAGCTGAAAAAAACCAAAAACAAACAAAAAAACTATAATTTATCAACTGTCCAAAATCTCTTTGGTTGTAAGGAATAAATCTTATTATGTTGTGCCATAAATCTCCATTTTGCTTTTCTAAAATATTCCCCCCCAACAAAGTCATTTATAAAACAATTAAATTCATCTACTTTTAAAATGGAGGAAAAAAAAAAAAAGGAAAAGGAAAACATTAAGAAATCTACCCTAAGTTCAAAAAGAAGCACGAGGAAGAGGTGTGATTTTAAAAATTAAGCATAAAATCTATTTGTACCTGGTAAAAATGTTGTTATAACCTTTGACATTTCCTCCACAATTTCCTGACGGACTCTGAGATCATCATCTGTTATTCCTTGTTCTTTTGCTAATTGAACCACTGCAACACTTAAAGCAGCCAAGTGGGCAAGGGAAGGAGGTGGCAGAGAACGAAGCTCACTTTCTTCCTGTTTTTCCTGTCAGTGTAACATTTAACAACAACAACATAAAAAAAGATTTCTATTTTAATGTCCTTAAATTTAGGGAAAAAAAGAAATATTAACTCAACAAATATTCAGCTTTTATGTGCCAGGTTTAAGATACCTAGAATATGGACGTGAACAAGAGGCAGAGATCCCTGCGTCTGTGAAGCAGAAATTGAACAACGAGAGTCACTGTGGGAGAGGCTGATATTAAACATTAAAAAATAAAACTTCTTCTACTTGACTGTCTGCATGAATTCTGAAATACTACATCAAAGCCAAGATACCATAAGCGTAACACTTAGCTGATAATTTTGTTGCAGCAAAGAAAGGTTGTCTTAGGTGCAGCTGAGGGTCTTGAGCTGTCTCAGATCCCATATACAGTATGAGATTAAATGGAACAGGAAAACATCCTAGACACTACATTACTCTGAAATACTGCCTATGATTTGCAATTGATTTCTCTGTTATTTCATCCAACACTAGGAAAAATATTTTAAAAAACCTCTATTCTGCTAAAAGTTTGAAAGCCATTTTAAACCAAGAAGCTAAACAGGAACTATATTATATATGCACAATGACTTTTTAAAATTAACTTACTTTTCTGACTTAAAAGAATACGTGCTAACTGTAAAAACTACATGAAATATAAGAAAATACAAAGAAGAAAATCACCACAATCTCACATCTTAGTATTTCCCTCATTTCTTAACATAACTGAGACCATACTGTTGCTTTTATTTATTATTATAACAAAGGCATTTTCTATTACCACATTTCAGTCAAGAAACAATCTCTTAAATTTTGAGACATGGAGCTCCCAACAAACCTAATAATCAAAAATAGTCTGTTCTGGGCCAGCCGAGTGGCACGATGGTTAGGAGCTGGCTTGGGGTACCAGAGGGCCCCGGTTCGGATCCCACATATGAGGGCCAGTGACACTGCCCTCCACAGCTAAGATGCTGAACAACAGCTCAACCTGGAGCTGGGCTGCCGTGAGTCGCCGTCTGCAGCCCCTGTGGCGGTGGGTTGCCATGAGCTACCGTGAGCGGCCAGCAGCCGCAGTGAGTGGCCGTCCAGAAGCCGGCGACTGATCTGCCTTGCCCGGGAAGAGCGCAATGATGGTGCCAATTTGGGCCAGTGAAGCAAAGTCCTCCACAACTAGATTGAAGAACAAAAATGACAGCAACTTGTCTGTTCCCCTTCTCCCGGTTCCCCAGCGCTGTTCCCATCCCCCCAATTCCCCAATGAAAATCTTAAAAAAAAAAAAAAAAAGTCTGTTCTCTCTCAACTTCCCCCAATAAAGTTAAACAATGACTTTGGTCTATTCTTTATTTTTTTCACTGTACCATATTTAGCCATAATATAAGTAAAGTTTACATAAGGTACAGAATAATCAAACACTGGAGGTAAGAGAACCTCATTTTCATAACTTTCTATGGCCATTTCTGCAATCTTAATTATAATCTAAATCTTATTAGATGAGTGTCTAAATTTTCAGGACTATTTTTTTTTTAGGATTCATCCAAAATATTAACAGCAACATACTTAATGAAAAAAGATACAAGATTAACATGTAACAAAATTATCTTTATATACATAGAAGTACCACAAAAGGCTTTGAATTATACTGCTAGATTGTCAGGGTAATAAGAAGAAAAGGAAAATCACACACTCCGCTACCTATGCTATTAGTAAGTCTATCCTACCTCCTTTAGGATACTGTTGCATCAAATATTCTCACTGATAGCCTCCTATCATTGATCATCCTCAAATCCTCCTGATATCTTCATATATCCTCTGTCATAAATATGATCAATGAAGTCCCTCCCTTATGTAACTTATATTCTAGTTAGAGGAAAGAGACAACAGGTAGGTAGGTACGTAGACAGATGATAGATAGATAGATAGATAGATACATAGATAGATAGATACATAGATAGAAAAGCTTAGAATTTTATTCTAAGTTGAGAAGCCACTGAAGGGCTATGAGCAGGAAGTAACATGGTATGACACATTTTAAAAGAACAATGCTAGCTGCTGAACAAAGAATAGACTGCGGGAGACAGGAAGAGGTGTAAGTTGGAAATAGTCCAGGTGAGAGATGCTGGTAGCTTCAGACTAAAGCAAAAAGAAGACAGGTGTGTGAAAAATGACTAAATTTGGAATACATAATATTGCGAAGGTCAATTCTATAGAATTTGCTGTTGGTTTGAATGTGAAGTGTAAAATAAAGAGATGAATCAAAGATGACTCAAAGGTACTTGTCCTAAGCAACTGGGTAAAGGGTGTACCTTCTACTGAGATGAGGTTAATTCTGGAAAGAATTAGTTTAGGTTAGGAAAACTTGCCCATGAGGCAAGAGCCTCCTAATTAGTCTTCCATTTCCAATCTGTAGCCCTTGATCCCATTCCCATATCTCTACCAGTTATTCTCCTACTTAAAAACTTTCAATAAATCCTCAAGAAAATACTAGCAAACCAAATTCTGCAGAATATTGAAAGGATTATACACCATGACCAAGTGCAATTTATTCCTAAAATCCAAGAATGGTTCAACATACAATAACCCAATCAATGTAACATACCACCTTAGCAGAATAAAAGGGGGAAAAAATGACATGGTCATCCCAATTGATGCAGGAAAAGCATTTGATAAAATTCAACACACTTGTGTGATAAAAACACTCAACGAACTAGGAATAAAATGAAACTACTATAATATAATAAAGATCACATGTGAAAAACCCACAGCTAACATCATATTCAATGGTGAAAGACTGAAAGTTTTTTCTCTAAAATCAGGAACAAGTCAAGAATGCCCATTTTCACCACTTCCATTCAACATACTATTGGAAGTTCTAGTCAGAGGAATTAGGCAAGAAAAAAATATATAAGGCAACCAAATTGGAAAGGAAGAAATAAAATGATCTTTATTCACAGAAAACATAATCTAATATGTAGAAAATCATACATATTCCACAAAAAAAAGCTGTTACAATGAACAATAAATTCAGCAAAGTAGCAGGATACAAATCAACACACAAAAAAATCAGTTGACTTCTATACACTAACAATGAACAATCTGAAAAGGAAATTAAGAAACAATTCTATTTAAAGTAGCATCAAAAAGAATAAAATACTTAGGAATTAACTTAACCAAGAGATGAAAGACTTGTACACTGAAAACAATAAAACATGGCTTAAAGAAATTAAAGAAGACGTGAATAAACAGAAAGCCATTCCATGATCATGGACTGGTGGACTTAATATTAAGATATCAATACTACCCAAAGTGACCTACAGATTCAATGTAATCCCTATCAAAATCCCAATTCCTTTTTTTTTTTTTTTGCAGAAACAGAAAAATTGACCTTAAAATTCACATGGGATCGCAAGGGACCCCAAATAGCTAAAATAATCTTGAAAATGAATAACAAAAGTTAGAGAATTCACATTTCCTGATTTCAAAACTTAGTACAAAACCACAGTAACCAAGTAAGTATGGTACTGGCATAAAGACAAATGTATAGGCCAATGGAATAAAACAAAGAGCCCAGAAATAGACACGCATAAATACTGTCAAATGATTTTTAATAAGGGTGTCAAGATCATTCAATGGAGAAAGGACTGTCTTTTCAATAAATAGTGCTAGGAAAACTGGATATCCATATACAATGTGAACCCTTACCTTACACCATATACAAAAATTAACTCAAAATGGATCAAAGACTTAACTGCAAAAGCAAAATTAAAAATCGCTCAGAAGAAAACATAAGAGAAAAACTTCATGATATTCGATTTGGCAATCATTTCTGGAATATGAAACAAAAACACAGGGAAGAAAAAAATAAACTGGACTTCATGAAAATTAAAAACGTTTGTGCATCAAATGACACTATTAACTGAGTAGAAAGGCAGCCTACAAAATGGGATAAAATATTTGCAAATCATATATTATTAAGATCACATATAAAATCACATATAAGAGATTAATATCTAGAACATATAAAGAACTCCCAAAATTCAACAAGAAAACAATCAAATTCAAAAGTGGTCAAAGAAATTGAGTAGACAGTCCTCCAAAGACACACAAATGGACAATAAACACATGAAAAGGTGCTCAACATCATTAATTATTAGAAAAATGCAAAAAAAGTACAATGAGGGAGGGCCAGCCAAGTGGCTCAGTTGGTTAAGAGCACGAGCTCTGACCAACAGGGTCGCTGGTTTGATTCCCACATGGGTCAGTGAGCTGAGCCCGAGCTGAGCTGCCGCTGAGATGCCAACAGATGGCAGGATGGCTCAGCTGGTGAGAGCACGTGCTCCTAACAACAAGGTTGCCAGTTCAACTCCCGCATGGGAAGATGGGCTATGCCCACCCGGAACTAAGATGAAACGGCACCTTTAGTTGAGCGGCGGCGAGCTGCTGATGGGCAGCCGGATGGCGACTGGATTTGGAACTGAGCTAGCTGCGCCCTCCACACTAAGACTGAAGGACAACAACTTGGCTGTTCCCCTTCCCACAATTCCCCAATAAAATCTTTAAAAAAAAATTAAAAAGTACAATGAGATACCACTTCACATTGATTAGGGCGGTTATTATAAAAAAAAAAATTTTTTTTTAAATCCCACAAGAGTTTTGTGGATAAGGAGAAATTGAACCCCTGTGCATTGCTGGTGGGAATGCAAAATGGTGAAGCCACTGTGGAAAACAGCATGGCAGTTCCTCAGAAAATTAAACACAGATTTACCCTGTGATCCAGCAATTCCATTTCTGAGAAATGGAAGCAGGTATTCAATCAAGTATTTCTACACCAGTGTTCATACCAACATTATTCACCATAGCCAAAAGGTAGAAACAACCCAAATATCCATCCACAGATTAATGGATACATAAAACATTGTATATACATAAAATGGAATATTATTCAACACTAATTAGGAAGGAAATTCGGATACATACCATAATGTGGTTGAACCTTAAAGACATTA